CAGGAAGATGCCGCAGTGTAGGGGCCTGGGGGCTTTGGGTCTCTTTCCAGATGGCTAGCTCTTTAAACTTGGGTTTCTTTCAGTGGGGGTTTACTTGGAGGGTTTAGGGTTTAGGGTTTAGGGGTTTAGGGTTTACTTGGAGGGTCGGGGGGACTTAGTAACTAGTTATTTTGACAGGCTTATGGTATTTCTAACTCTACTTAATATCTACTACTAAGTCCCCCGACCCTCCAAACACCATGCGTTGTGTTAGATACAGGGTCGGAATAGTTACGAAGAGCACCCCAGATACAACTGAAACACTTACGCCATGTCGTGACCCCAAAACCCATTCTAGGTGTTAAGCAACCTATCTCAGATTAAAGCTGCTGTTCATTCATGCATGCATGGATGGATATGTGCATGTAGGTAGATGCATCTAGCCCTATATACATGCACGCACACATGGATTTTAGATCATGCGGTATTTCTTGAGTTTTTTAGGGGGGAGTGGTGCAGAAGTTTGAGACATCTGAACTAGGGGCCCTGTGTATAGTGCTACTGCTTCGGGTCTATCTTCGGCTTCCTAAACCCTGCACCGTAAACCCTAAACCAGTAAACCCTAAACTCTAAACCCTAGAATCTAAACCCTAAACTCTAGACCCTAGACCCTAAACCCTAAACCCTAAACCTCTCGTTCTTTTCTGAAACTCGACACCCTTGGATCCGAGGTGCTCCGACGAAAATTCGCAGTGCCCGGAGCCATCGCAGCAGCCGCTCCTGTGCAATTACGGGTTTCGGGTTCAGGGTTTAGGGTTTAGGGTTTAGGGGACAGGGCTTCCCTTACTTGGAGGGTCCGAGGACTTCGTAAGTAGATCTTAAGTAGAGTTTATAAGTACCCGAAAAGGGATCCCAATTGGGGCTATGTACTTATAAGTCTGTAAGACAACTAGTTACTAAGTCCCCCGCCCCTCCAAGTACGGGTTCACAGTTTAGGGTTTAGGTTCCTTTAGGGGTTCCTTGGGATCTGTAGGGGTTTTTGGGTGCAGGGTTTAGGGGGGTAAAAACCCTAAACCCTAAACCCTAAACCTAAACCGGTATCGAGGTTTCAGGTAGGTAGCGGCTATCTGCCCCTAGCTCTCCAGCCTGGGACCCTAAACCCTGCACCTTGAACTGGGAAACCTTGAACCGTGAGAGTTAAGAGAATGTTGTACCCGATACTTGGAGGGTCGGGGAACGAGAAACCATGGACACAGAAGTATAAATAAATAACCTTTGGAGTTAATTGTTCTGGCTTCGGGGGACTTAGTAACTAGTTATTTCACAGACTTATAGGTACCGCAACCCCAAATTAGGATCCCTTTTGGGTTACTTATAACTCTTCTTGATATCTACTTGCTAAGTCCCCGGACCCTCCAGGTAATTGTAATAGTACGGCTTTTGATGATGGTTGGGCTCGGGTCGCTGGGCTTTTGGTGTCAAGGGTGGATGTGCAGTCATACAGAAGCTTATACTTACTAGAGCTATAGTCATAGTATACCAGTTATCAAGGCCCTTCCACCCTAAACCCTAAACCCTAGGCTTGTCGGCAGCCACCAAGGTCAGCACGCGGGTGCCAGGGCACACTGAAGATGTGAAGTCTCAGGGAAGGGACGTAAACAAAAGAGTCAACACTAGGAGTTTAGGGTTTAGGGTTTAGGGTTTAACAGGGTTTGGGGGTTTTGGGGGAGGGTCTAGGGATTTAGGGGTCTACGGGTTTATTTGTTTAATTAGGGGTTTCGGGGTTGGGGGGTTTGGGGTGTAGGAACCCTAAGCCCCAGTCAAACTCCATTGAACCCTGAACCTCAAACCCTAAANNCTCAAGCCCAGGATAAATAGAAATTGTTTGATCTATTGCGCATGGCCCTGTAGATTTTGTTTGGCTTTGAATGTTTGACGAACAAACTGCGCGCACAGAAACGAAAGTTGTAGAAACAAAGGTGTTTCCGCGGTGCTTCAACTCGCAAAAAAAGGGATTACTCGACAGGCTGAGCAGTCTTTAGAGGCGGTCGCAAGAGTTTAAGTAAATTGAACTGAAAAGCCCGATTACTCGACGGGTTCAAATAAATTGAACTGAGGAGCACCGGAAAGGATTGGCTGAACAAATTGATTGAAAAGCAAGCACAATTGAGCAAAAGTAAAGGGAAAAACCCAGGCAATACCGCACACAAATTGATTGAAAAGCAAGCAAAATTGAGCAAAAGCAAAAGGAAAAACCCGGTCAAAACCGCACAAAACCGCACAAAACCCGGTCAAAACCCGGTCGAAACTCCTGACCTGAACCCTAAACAATTTCTATAAACCCTAAACCCTGAACTGCTGCGAGCCCTTGAGTCGAGGTGCAGATCTCCGAAGCCATCGGACAGAGGCCGGTGATTTTCTTGGGTGTTAGGGTTTAGGGTTTAGCGTTTTGGGGCCCGAAAGCTTACCTTAACCTACCAAAACTTTTTTGTAGGTTGTGATTATGAGCCCTAATATACAAAAGAGTAGGTTCTGGTGGGTTAAGGTAGACCTCAGCCCCAAACCCTAAGCCGTGCTGCGTAGCCTGAGCTGCAGTTGTTCTGAAGTTCTGAACATGCGTCGTGTCCTGCACCTTAAGCATCGTTGAAGTTCACGCAGCGAGGAGGAAAGAGGGAGGGGGAGGGAGAGAGAGAGAGAGAGAGAAAGAGAGCGGGATAAGAAGTGAAATATTAAATATTAAGTGTTAGATACTTAGCATAAGATATTCGGTGTTAGATATTGCCTTGACGGAAGAGGAAGGAGGAGGCGGACACCGGGAGAGAGAGAGAGATAAGCTCAGACAGACGCGGACATATAATATATACATATGTATATGTGCACACAATCTGTTGATATGATATTGTATTCGTATCTGTACACACACATATATATAACATTATATTTAATGTGTTTTTATACGGTTGAATCAGCAGTATGATATGTCTATCTGTATCTGTTATCTACCGATCTACCTATCTATCTATCTGTCTGTCTATCTATCTATATCTATTTATCTTCCTACATACTTACATATATACTGGCCAGGTTTTTTGTTTTAAAGGTTCGGCGAGAGGCCGTCCTTTAAAAGGTTTGGCTTCAAGGAGATCCTGTGGTCCCGCGGTCTTGGTCCTGCCCTTTCTCGTGGTCTCCTGCTCCTGCGCTCCGCTGGTCCTCTAATTTCTTGGTCACGTGCTTCTTCGGTCCATCTGATGAAACGGAATCGCCAAATCAGGGGGCGTGTTCAAGATATATGTTGAACTGAAATCGCCAAATGACAGGGCAGTTTCAGATATATGATGAAACTCATGATGAAACGGAATCGTCAAATGACGGGGCGTGTTTAAGATATCTGGTGAAACGGAATCGCCAAATGAGGGGGCGTGTTTAAGATATATGTCGAACCGGAATCGCTAAATGAGAGGGCAGTTTAAGAATCCCCCAATAGCTTGACACACAAACAAACCCTGAAAACTAGAATTCCCCAAGAGCTTGACGCACAAACAAACCCTGAAAATTAGAATTCCCCAATAGTTTGACGCACAAACAAGCCCCGAAAACTAGAGTCCCCGTCCTTCCAAATTTAAAACAAAGGCCTCAACCCCAATCTTTAAAACAAAAAACCCTCCACCCTATATAGCTATCTACTTATCCATCTTTCTTTTTTGCTCTCTATCTCTCTATCATCTATCTACCTCTCTATCTCTCTATCTATTTATGTTTCTTTCTATCTTTCTACCTACCTAGCTATCTATCTATCTAATTCGGTCCACTTCGGCTAGCAACTTCGAAGACGAACTCCAGGTTCGGTCTCGAACTTAGACCTCAGCTCCTTGAACACTGAGCCTTGCTGGTCAGGGATGATAAGCAGTCATGGGTCGTGTTCACTCATTAAATGGCTGCTAGGTAGGTGTCCTTAAACGGTTCTTTTTTGAATGCCTTGGGCGCTACACGCATCCCGTTGGCGACGCCAACCTTGCCTAGTGAAACCTAGTAGTTTTAAACGTTCTTGGTTTATGTAACGTACTTACCATAGTTGTAAAGATCAACTTTTCGCGGGCCAGGGTACTCAGCACACATAGCCACCCCTAAACCCTAAACCCTTGATTGCCAGATTCGCACAGGTGAAATCTACGAGTTGGCGAAGACTGCCTGCACCAAGAATTCTGCCAAGGCAGCCATGCTCCGGGTCATGCGGGCTGCAGGGTGCATGGTTTAGGGTTTAGGGTTTGCGGCAGCAAGCGCCCATCTTTTTTTGCGATTGACGAAGGGTCTTCCCTTTCTCTCCTGTGTTCGCGTGGTTTCCGTCGACCCTGAACCCCTACTGACTGGAGGCGCTCGGCACAGGTAGGAGGCCACTCAACTCTTCGATTCGGGGGGCTTGTGCTTTTGAGCCAAGCTCCTCGCAGTAGGATGATGCAGATAGTGCTCATGATCACGATGAAGATAGTGGTGGTGGTGATCACCTAAAACCTGAACCCTAAAACCCTGAATCCTTTCACCCCAAATGCTAAACCCTAAACCCTAAACCTAAACCCTGAACCCTTACACCCCAAACGCCAAACGCTAAACCCTGATGACGATTCGGGTGCCAACTCTCGACCCGGACTCGACTCCTTAAGGGTTAAGGGTTTAGGGTTTAGGGTTTAGGGTTTAGGGTTGATTTAGGGTTTAGGGTTTAGGGTTTAGGGTTTAGGGTTCACCAGATTCATCCTGGGGCCCTCTAAGGGTCCCAAAGACCCCCCCAGTTTTACAATTTTTATTTTGGGATCCCCTTGTTAGAACCGAATATTCGGGAGAAAGATACCCCATATTCTTAAGGGATTACTGCTAAATTCAAGTCTACATTTGGGTAGTTCTCTGAATTAGGGTACCTTTTTAGGTCCCCAGTATAGTACGGCAACCTTATAAAAAGGGCCGCAAAAGGGACCCTAATTTAGACAACTACCCAAAGCCTGAAGCCCTAAACCCTAAACCCTAAACCCTAAATCCTAAACCCTAAACCCTAATCCTAAACCCCAAGCTTTGCCGCGACCATCCAGGAGAGCCATCGGGTGCTGCGGCAACTCGCCGAGCAGGTACAGCGCATGTGGGGGGGTGGGGGTTTAGGTTGAAGGGTTTAGGGTTGAGGTTGTTGGGCTATTCGGTTTAGGGTTTAGGGTTTAGGGTTTAGGGTTGAGGTTGTTGGGCTATTTCCGAGAGGGGCAGGGGGGGGTGGAGGTGATTTGGGGGGGGGCTTGTGTGATTTGGAGTGGATTTTTGGAGAAAAGCAGGGTCCATTGCTCCGGGGCCCGTGTAAAGATTGCTACATTCGGGTGAAAGCCATGAGTTTTTGGGTGCCAGCTCATTTGGAAACTGGCAGCCATCAAGGGGTCCGGGCATTGAGCGAGAGCCTCAGCCCAACAAGCTTGCAGTCTGACCGTCTTCCGTTGTTGCGGTTTAGGGTTTAGGGTTTAGGGCTTAAAGGTTTAGGCGATTGTTGATTATTGGTACCGTTGGCGCCGCCTCTTGCTCTTGCAGTCGTCAAGATTGAAGCTGTTTCCATTGGAACCGTTGTGAACATCATCACTGCTATGGCTACCGTCATCGCCATTGTCATCGGCACGAGCATGGCGCCGTGCTTCATGCTGCTATGAACGGCTTTCGGTGAGGGGCACGAATGATTCTGGAATAACATGCGGAAGGCGACTATCAAGTGGTGATAGTTGCAGTAGCAGTTTTAGTCGCAGGTCGCTGTCGTAGCAATCAGAGGGATGCCAGAATCTTGACAGCTGCAGGAATGGTAACAGGCTGGGAGTCTAGGAGGTGTGTTGCAGAAACACACCGCAAGTAGGGCCAGATCTTGTGTCTTTGACAGAATGAGTCGTTTAGGGTTCGGGGTTCAGGGTTTCGGGCTAAGCCTCGAACTCGTAACTTTCAGAAACCCTGAACACGTAAGCACATCCGCTTATGCATGCCCGCTGCATCGTGCCTCCCATGCCCCAACCTCACTGCTCGCTCGCAGCCGGAGACCGAAATTGATGAAGGTCTCAGGAGTTGTTTGAAAGAGACTTCCTGAACAGAAGCCCTAAACCCTAAATCCGAAACCCTGAACGCTAAACCCTAAACCCTCAATCCTAAGCCCTGAATCCTAAACCCTAAACCCTAAACAAAGTTTTGAGCTCCCCCAGCACGCCTGCGAGAGGTGGCAGAGCTCAACACCCGTGCGAACACGCAAGGGAAGGGTCGGGGAGACCTCAACATGGAGGCTCGGGTAATGTTGCTTGGAGGGTCGGGGGACTTAGTAGCTAGTTATTTTACATTATCGACTTGTAAGTACCATAACCCCAATTAGGATCCCTTGTAGGGTACTTGTAACTCTACTTGATATCTACTTACTAAGTCCCCCGACCCTCCAAGTAATGTAGGGGCCTAAAGAATTACCTATACTATTTTGGGGGTTCCTGATTATAATTAAAGTATTATAGTATAATGGGCCCAAAAACCCTATTCTAATTATTGAGGCCCCTATATTTCAGGGCTAAGCTTAAGGCTTTTGGGGTTGGGGTTTAGGGTTTGGGGTTTAGGCTTTAGGGTTCAGGGTTCGGGGTTTAGGGCTTAGGGTTTAGGGTTTAGGGCTCAGGGCTTCGGGCTTAGGGTTTCGGGCATGACAACTAAGTAGCGCCAAATGCCCTAAGACTAAGCCCACGACACCTTGCTATAGGAGTCGGAACAATTCTTGCTGATATTCGTTTTTGTCCTGGTGTATCTCTAAACGTCAGGCATTCGGACAAGCCAGCAATAGCTCTGCAGCGAGACGGCGACTTACCAGCGCATTTTGCTTTCCTGAGTCCTGGATGAGTTTGAAGTGAGGTTTGACGATAAGCCCGTGTTTTCAGGACCTTGGACTTGACCCTGATAAAGGGCAAACCTCCCGTCCGCACACACACCCACACACACACACGACACAGCAATGAACAACCTGGGCCCCCTAACTTAAGAAATAGAGCTTTAGTAAACCCTAAGCCCTAAACCCTAAACTCCTAAACCCTAAACCCTAAACCCCTAAAGTTAGGGCTTTAGGGGTTTGGAGCTGGCTTCTTTGTGTCCGGATCTGAGTTCCTGGACGGCTTCAAGGCGCGTGAGTCCAACATGCGCGCGGCACTGTGGCGAGAGCTGGTTGCACATTGCTGGGGAATGTGGTTGCGGTTTAGGGTTTAGGGTTTAGGGTTTAGGGTTTAGGGTTCAGGGTTTACGGTTTAGGGTTTTGGGGTTTAGGGTTATTTCGCGGCGGAAATGCAGGAGACTCCGGCGGAAGGACGAAGCACGATGCGCACTGCAACGTACCAAGGTCTCCCTGTAGTACCCTTTTGCCCTTTTTGGGGCTACTGGTGAACTTCAATACACCCGGCACTGGCGGAACTTTGAGACCGCACCAAGGAGCCGAATAGCCCCGTCCAGCGAGGAAATCAGCCTCCATCCACCAAATTGAAAAAATCACACGAAAAATAGGCACGGCACTGTGGTAGGAGCACGATTCATCAAGTTCGGGCACAACAGGATACTGGATGCTGCAATCAGTTCGGTGTCCGTAGCAGAGGCGGCCGCAGCGGGATTGTGGAAGGAGAGGGAGTTTTGTTCGTAAATGTCCGCCCTGAGCTGAGCAGCTGGAACAGATCGCAAGCAAATGCGTCCATTTCAAAAGCGAGAACTCCATTACCCTTGCAACATTGCTGCGGGGAACAGAACTCCGTATGACACCTGCAACACAAGTATTAGTGTAAATAAAACCCTAAAACCATAAAGCCCTAAACCCTAACCCTAAACCCTTAACCCTAAACCCTAAACCCTAAACTCCTAAACCCTAAACCCCTAAAAAACCTTACACCCTAAACCCTAAACTCATCCTCCAGCCCCCAAAGTTTAAGAAACATCAACATCTCCAAGAAGCAAGCCTTGCGGCAGGTCCTTCAGGCGGCTGCAGACCTTCTGCTGGGCGGCGAGGTGGGGGTTTCCTTAGTGCCATAGTTGCTACTACTACTACTACTACTACTACTACTACTACTACTACTGCAAAGACTAGTGGCTCCGATTTTTCTGACACATTATATCACGATGAGCAGTTTTGCATGTTCTTAGTCTTACTACTGATTATCATGTTGGTTGTTTTCATTGTCATTCTGATTAACTTATACTCTTGCCGCTGCTCGGGTTGAGGGCATTTTGGGTATCCCAGGTTTGGGCGAGCCTTTTAGGGGGTTGACCCTAGACCCTAAACCCTAAACCGGTTGAGGGCTTACGACAGCTCCTGAAAAAATCGGGGCTGAGGATTCCGAAGGCACGGCCCTAGAAATCAGCACACGAGGTACGGCAAAATCCTAAGCCCCAAGCCAAGCCCCAAACCCTAAAGCCTAAACGCCAAATCCT